AGGAATCTGGACGCTTGGGTTCTCCTCCATTCTGTCCTTCTCTAACCTGTGCCTCAGTTTCCTGCTATGGTGTGGGTGTGAGTGACTTCATGCCTGTAAGGGGTGAGGCAGCTGGGAATGCCTTGACGGACTCTGAGATGCAGGTGGGGCAGTTGGGGAACAGCTGCACACAACACTGCATGGGGAGGCCTAGCTTGGTGCTGAGATGCAGCCACTTCTGGGGCGGGGCAGCCGGGGAACAGCCACACATAACGCCACATGGGGACACCTTGACCGACTACAAGATGCAGCCACCACTGGGGTGGGGAAGTTGGGGAACAGCTGCACATAACATCGTATGGGGATGGCTCACCCAGCGCTGAGATGCAGCCACCTCTGGGGCGGGGCAGCTGGGGAACAGCTGCACATAACGCCGCTCGGGATGGCTCGCTCAGTGCTGATATGCAGCTGGGGAACAGTGCTGGGGTGGGGCAGCTGGGGAACAGCTGCACACAACACTGCGTGGGGAGGCCTAGCCTGGTGCTGAGATGCAGCCACCTCTGGGGCGGGGCAGCTGGGGAACAGCCGCACATAACGCCACATGGGGACAGCTCGCTGGGCCTGAGATGCAGCCAGCTCTGTCATGAGATCATGCTGGGGGTTTCCTGCAGCAGCACTTCAGAGGGAGCAATTCACTCTAGTGAGTTGACCTTGCCTTCCTGTGTGTCTCTAAAACCACATTATCTCTCCCAGCGGAAATACCACAGAGTCACGGAAACAAGCAGAGCGATAGGGATCTCGGGGGAGTTCGCTCACTGAGCTTTGTATCAGCCATCAAAATAACAGGCCCTGACAACTGATGGGCTGACAGCAGCGGGGCTGGGAGCCAGGACTCCTGGGTTCTAGCCTCGGCTCTGGCGCTAGGAGAAACCACTCCGTTGGCAGTTGGTAGAAAGCACCTGTAGCACACCTGAATGCCATGCTATGCTGCTTGTCACTAACAAGGGGGGGATCCAGCTGCTTTTAAAGGAGTCCCCAAGAAATGCGTCTAGCTCTGGGGCGGAGCAGCTGGGGAAGAGCCGCACAGCGACTCTGTATGGGGATGGATCACCCAGCACCGAGATGCAGCCACCTCTGGTGCGGGGCAGCTAGGAAACCGCCACGCAGGGATTGATGAGCGGCAGCTGCCTCTGAAGTGGGGAAAATCTCCTCCCAGGATGAGGGGGCGAGTCCCATTTATCGGGTCACATTGCGGGGCTGGGTGTCTGTCCTACTTCGGGATCCCAGCTCCGGGTCCACACAGAGGGATCCATTCCCCGTGGGGGATAATCCAGCCGTGCCCCCGTCTCGGCGGCCGTTCTCTCCCTCTCAGTCGCTCCAGCTGGGGGGCACGAGGCAGAAAGGCCCGTGGGGCAGGGCGGCCCCCTGCGCCTCCCCGGGTTTTTATGGCTTTATGGCCCAGCCACGTAGCCGGGGGATGAAGCTGCCCTGGTTGAACAATTCCTTCTGGGCAATTTCATCCCACCTGGGAGCAGGCTGATCCACGCCCCCAGCGACCGCTGGCACAGCAGCTCGCCACGTCCCTGGAGCACAGGTGTGGGGAGCTGAGCCAGAGAGGTAGGAGCTAGGGGATGTGGCCATGAGGCAGGGATGGGGGGGGGGGGGGAGTCGTAGGGGACGCGGCCATGGGGCAGGGACATGGAGGTGGATCTAGGGGATGCGGTGATGGGGCAAAG